ATCCAGAAACATATAGGTGCAGAATTACAATAAAATACAGTGGTATAAGTGAAAGATATTAAAATGAAAGTATAAATTTAAAAAGATTAGGTGATAAAACACTAAGAAAACCCAAGCCTTTAGAAGAAAAGGAGATTTTAAAAACATTTTTAAAGAACAAAAGTGAAAGAGACTACAAAGGATAAAAGGAAATTATCCTAGCTAAAATTAGTATACTGTTATAGATAAGGCTAGAAATCAATAATATGTATCTACTAAGAGAAAGATAAATACTGAGAAGGGATTTCTTGAGATGAAACATTTTTGGAAGGATACCTTTTCCTAACAAATTTATAAATATTAAAAAGATACACACTCCAGGAACTCCTTAATACTATTTTAAAGTGAAACAAATCTGAAAGAGGAAAGGACAGAGTGAACAGAAACAATGCCTCAAAGACTAATAAACAGATGCCTTCTTCTAGGTCTGACCCACACCCGTGAGCCTCTCGTATATTGCACATTACATCAACCTCTCTCCTCTGTAATTTTCATATTAACCTTTAGTGTGATAGAGAGTATTCTAGGGTACACTAGGTATTAGGAAATACCTAATACCTTATCAGATTTAACTTATCAGAGGTGTTCAGAGGATGAAACAAGACACAAAACCCAGGGAACACACACATAAAAGAAAAAGTAATCATGATGGAAATGGGCTGGGCAGAGGAAGGACAGCCTCACAAACTGCTCAGGGTCACTGTAAAGCACTGCAGCTCTCTTTGCATATATAAACAAGAAAAATAAGATATTCTACATAAGATTTAAAAGTAAAACTCATCAGTACATTTGGAATAAACAAGATCTTGAGGGCCGGGATTTAGCTCAGTGGTTCCGCTGCCTACCTCGCAAGAGCAAGGACTGGAGTTCGATCCCCAGTACCAAAAAAAAAAAAAAGATCTTGGGAAGTCATATTTGGTGTTTACATTTCAGACATGGCAGGCAAATGTTTGTTATTTGGACAGGAAGTGAGAAAAAAATGTGAAAGACAGTTTTGATACTTTTCTTCTTCTGTCCGTAATCTAGTTTATATGGTTGCTACTTTGACTGTTATAATTTAAATAAAAAGTATGCAGTTTCTTAAAATTTTCCTGGTATGATGCTATGAGACTAGATTGATAATGTTTTCACATATAAGTTACAATTATATACCAAGGAAGTCTATTTTTTCCTCCAAACCAGGCTTCTTTTATAGACTGGTATCTCTCAAAAGCTATTTACTTTTAGAAGCTATTTCCTTTTTATATACTAGTATATCATCAGGTCATCCGCATTTCAGTCAGTAATACACAGCTGCTATCAGAACCTAGAAACTGAATTGGCAGCGACAATGATTAAATCTGGACTTATAATCAAGAAAAAACAGAATCACAGTCTCTAGGAAAAGGCTGAGAAAGAGAAGTTCTCTAACCAGGCATATACAAATTGTCATAATGTAAAAATAACGTCACTTTTTAAGTGACATTGGTTATAGGTAATATTTCTGTCATACAATTGGCCTAGCAATTGAACCTTGATTTATGTCAATTTTGGTAAAAAGCCAAATCTTTTCCAACCAGTATTGGTCACTGGAGAATAACAATCACTATTTTTATTTTTATCCATAAAATAAGCCTATCTTCTAGAGTGTTTCTTTCTTAAAAAGACAAAGAAGCAACTGAATGGCAATAAAATTTGCACTTTTCTGGTTAGTAAATCAAGATCAAACTGAGTAAACTGAATAATCATAATCACCTGAAAATAGAAACATTAAATGGAATAAGCTTCTGGTATGAGGCTAAATTCAAATGTCACAAAATCTGTATTGTTAAGATTTCAGAGATTAGGTATAATGTTGTAAAGGTTGACTTGTGTGCCTTGGAACTATGGAAAGTATCTTGGTATCACTGTCAACAAATTAATAGATGAGTCACTGGATCTGAAGACCACTTACTGTGGTAAGTAGTCAGAGAAACATCAGGCAAGCACTTCAGCTTAGTGAAGTCAAAACAATCAAAAAGCTTTGGAAAAACAACTGTAAGATGCAAGATACCATGAAAACAACTGCCACAAAGGACATCTGTGTTCTTTTCAATCTAGCATCTGCTTTGAGTTTTCAGGCCATAAAATGCTCTTAAAGGTCAGAAAATGCTGAATGGCACACCTGACTTTACATAACTGAAATTACTGAATCCTAAGAACCCGGCCCAGACTCATAGTTCTGAACCACTGTCAACTCTGATGATGCCAATACACTCCTAACTGGGGACAAAAAAGGTGTTCCTGGCAGAACTAGAACACAAAGTAGGAGCAAGAAGAGTCACTCAAGGATGATGGAGTAAGAAAAGTAATCATGGGATTCTGTTTGATAATTTATTCCTCACGCCCTTCCTAACCTTCTACTCAATAGTCAAGAAGTTAATTATTTTTAAGGCCTTTCCTTATCCTCAACTCATCAGTTAACAAGTTAGAGCTGGAGAAAATGTTTTCATAAAGTTTAGGTCAAGATAACTTATTGAAAAAAGAGGAAGTTATAACATTACCATGAAGCAAATAATTTTCAATGAAACACACCAACCAAATTAAATTCTGTGACACTTAGTTTCATTTTAATATCTTCTATACCAGTGATGGTGAACCTTTTGGAGCTTTCAATGATGATGAACAGCCCACTGCGGCACATGTGCCATAGGTTTGCCAACACTGTTTTATACAAACCTAAATGGGTGGACAAGATCTTGCTTTCAAGTGGTAGATTTGTCTACCAATCATTATTCCTATTTGCTATTAATTCTGATATCTACAATCTTTTTTGGAATTACTCTGTAATACCAAGGAAAGCTAAAATTTTGAGTCCTCTGAGATAGTTACTTCAAATATTAGAAAAATAAGGTGGAAACAATTCTTTAAATGATATGGAAAAGTACTAAATAAAACTAATGATTACAAAGGTTTGTTGTAATAGTTTTAAATCTCTTTATTATGAGTATTTTTTGCAGAAAAGTAATAATGAAAGAATGAAGAAATCATACATAACATTAAAAAGGAGCTATTTGGGTATTATATAAATAAAACTACACAGTAACTGAAATTAGGAAAAGAATATAGTTTTTTCTTCTGGAATATTTCCTTTTGGAAATATTTCAATCAATCATGTTCTAAGATTTAACTGGTTTTGTCTATGTTCTATCATTTCTTCATTTCTCTAATTCTTATCTCTTCTCTCCATCCCTAATTTCATTTTTTCCTGAGTTAACCAGTCTCACATCCAAACATTTTAAAAGCAATATTACTTCATTAATTCCAAATCAAAATGAACCAAAATACAAAAATGTTAACTGAAGTATGGATTATTATTTGAATCTCAAAAAATGTCTCAGGTCCTCATATGAGGAAAACTTCAGCTACTGAGAATTAACAGTCACAGGTTTGTTCTCCCCAAACTTCAGGAGAACAAAGAAGAAACTGATTCTATTTAGAAAATTCAGTCCTTCAAAGTACTTAACGTTTATGGCCCTTTAAAATTATTTCAAACATCTTGCTATCTCAAAAGCAAAATAAAGTTTGACATCTATTCCAACCGAAAATGTTAGATAAAAAAGAAGAAACTTCCTCTACTAGATTTAAGGAAGTTCACAGGGACAATTAAATGCATTGTGTATTATCAGTTATTTTAATACCTCTGTGCTTCTTAAAAGTAAACTTACAAAAGAAGGCCTATTTGACAATAAATATACACATGAGAACAAATGCCAGGTCAAGAAGGAAGCTTTTTTCCTTTTTAAGAGAACAAAGCTATTTTTCTTGTTTTGGTCATAAGCAACAGGCCTCCTTGAGGATTTTGAGTCTTCAAAAAGATAGAATAAACTCTCCATGATGTACAAATAACCAAAATTAAACATTAACTAGCATTTTAGTATCTGTAGTATGAGAAAAAAAAAGCTAAACAGTTCTAGCATTTTTTAACAACAGAAGTGGACTATTCATGCTCCATATAGCTTTATATAGATGTACTTATTATAATACTTTAAAAATTAGTAAAACTAGATTTATATAGTAATGCTCTACAATATTTCATTAATCATTTCATTTACTAACTACATGGAAAAAATAAAACAAGACACAGGTTGTCTCTTATCCAAAATGTCTGGGACCAAGAAGTGTTTTGGATGTCAGATTTTTTTTCAGACGGTGGAATACCTGCATACACATAATACAAAGTCTGAAAACAAAATTCATTTATGTTTTTTATATATACATAAAGGTGATTTTATACAATATTTTTAGTGCATGTCTGTTTTAACTGCAAACATTCATCTGAAGTGTAGGATTTTCTGCTTGGTGCTTAAAAAGGTTTCAGATTTTAAAGTATTTTAGATGTCAGATTTTTGGATTAGAGATGCTTGACCTGTATACTATATTGAAAAAGACACATTAATTATGACATGGCCACTAGTTTTAGCTTAAAACCTTAAATACTTGTGTCTCACCTAACAATACAAGTAAACAACAACTGCTATAATATACCTATTTTATACCTTTCTGCATTGCCTCCTGGCTTTGTTTTCTAATTAGAGTAGCTTATCCCCCTTAAACAAAACAAAGGTAAAAACAATGCTCTCAAAATGCACATTATAAAATTTTATCATAAAATACCTTTGTAATTATAGGACAAATTGTGTATGTACTGTGTATCTTTTTAAATTGCATCTTACACGATATAAGTGATTCCACTTTTATTTTTGTTCATTTTCATGGCACTTTCATTAACATTTTTATGTGTTCATTGTAAGAAATTAAAAAAATAGTATCCATAATCAAGCCTATTTTACTTGGCCCCAAATATATTTCTTATGAGGAATATTATAATCATACCATTTATTACCTTACCTTTACAATGAAAGAATTATGAAAAAGAAACACTGACCACTGTAATTTTCCTTCAGATTTTCTTTTCAACTTGAAAATATTCCTTGGCTTACCTGTTTCATGTAACAAACTGGCTTCTACTTTGTGGGGAATTCTTGGTGGAATTTTCATAGATGCACGAATCTGGTAAAAACTAAAACAAAATAAACAAGGAAATCATTTCAAAAACATTAAAAATATTCTATGCTCCAATTTTTACATTTTATTTATTAAAACAATAAAGTTGACATAATTACATCAGTTTTCCATAATATTTGCTATTGGTAGATAAAAACATTCTCAGACCTACATATCAAATAGTATGACATACAACCAAAATGGAAATCCGAGAGGTATAAAGATGAATGAGAGAAAAAGAAGAATACATATGGTATTTCTTGCTTTATATGAGAGAATGTGACAGCAACCTGTAAATTAGGCATCTAAGAGTTTTACTAATTGGTTCACTGATTTTCTTTTAAAATATAATAAAATTATTCTTAAATATCAGTTTGAGAAAATATAAGAATAATTATAAATGGTTTTAAAAAATTGGCTCCATACAATGACAAAAGACTGGGTTCTTTTTTTTGGTACTGGGGATTGAACTTGGGTCCTTACGCTTGCGAGGCAGGCAGTGGAACCACTGAGCTAAATCCCCCGTCCTATGACAAAACAAAGGTATGTATTTGGTTTAAGGAATTTAGTTTTTTCTCCAAGTTAAGATCATTTGTTTATTTATTTTTATCTGCTTATTTATTTGAAAGGATTTATACACACATACACATACACAGTTTGCAAATTTAATTTGTTCTGTGATTTTGGAAAAGACGGTCATGTTTGCGCTTGTGTGGGAAAGATGGCTGTTGCTGTGTTTGTCACCTGATGAGGTTTTCAAAAATTTTGCCAAATGCTTCTGTTTGCAAACAAATAAAGGCATTTGTGAACTGAGGTAACACTGTACAGTCATTAGTAATAACCTTAAATTAGAAAACATTATGAGGTAAAAACATTACAATATCGTTATTTTAATATCATAATATTACAAGTCTATGTATATTATGGAGGATATACATATCCATATACACATACATATAATTTCCTAAAGTAAAATAAACATTAGAAATCAAGAACGAATTTAGGTGTATACTGAGGAGCTGAGTATTTAATATTTATTCTTCTTTAATAATTTCCTAGAGCATGTTAATTATTAAATTTGCAAATAATACCTAGATTGGGTAGGATGTACGTATGGTCAGGTCACAAAAGTAGAATTAAAGAATTAGTAAAGGAAAGGGTAAAGGGATCTCACAAGGACAGGACCAAACTCTATAGTGATAGATTAGTTGAAATTAAGACAAGATCTGCTTCAACACGTAAGATAAGTATGAACAAAAGATCAAATGAGCTGGACCAGAAGAATAAAATTTTCTAGGAACTCTTCCTTCAACAATAATAGTGGGAAACTTCAACACTTCACTTTCCTTAGTGACAGATCATGCAGGGAGAAAATCGGCAAAGAAACAACTTAATCAAACCACAGTATAAAGCAAAAGAACCTAGCAGTAATTTACAGAACATACCATCCAATGGAAGTAAAATACCTATTCTTCTCTCCAGAAAATGAAACATTCTGCAGGTTTAATATAGATTTTTCTACTTAGATCTAACCTTTCACATAAAAAATAAGCTAAAATGGAGTCTGGCATTCCTAAATCTTTTAATATTCAAATAAAAAGAACTGCTCTTTAGCATCTACAGAGGTACAACAGGTGGAGAAATGGAAAAAATTAGATCTATGCCTACTGTTTCTATTTTTGGAAAATCTGAATGTATTTTTCATTTTGGAGGGAAGAATAAGAAAACTGAAGCTAATGGGTAAAAGTGTGAATAATAAGTTATTATATTTCTATTCCTTTTTTAGTATTTTATAGTATTTATATTTATAGTATTATTTTAGCATTTATAACACTGAGTCAAAACAAACTTTTAGAGGTAATAATTATGATTTTATTAAGCAAAGTAGTTTTACATATAAGTAAATATGATCTTTTTAGTCAAAAGAATAATACTGTTAGCAGGGTGTGATGGTGTACACCTGTAATACCAGCACGCTGGGAGACTGAAGCAGAAGGACACAAGTACAAGCCTAGCCTGGGCAATTTAGCAAGATCATGGAGTGAGGGGAGGGAAAGGGGATGAAAAAAGGAATTAAAATGTGTTGCATACATGTAGCAGCCCCACACATGGAATGTAAATATTGTGTACTAATAAAAAAACCCAAAATAATAAAATAAAAAATAAACAGGGCTAGAGATTTAGCTTAATGTGAAGGCCCTTGGGTTCCATGCCCAGTACTGAAAAAAAAATACTGTTTTACTTAGAGCAACTTTGTATTTTATATTTATTATACAGTAGAATGCATACAATGCATGTAATATTTATAAACTGTACTATAAATTTTATAGTACACCATTCTAATAATTATAATTTTATAATATAAATTTATATTTTGTTAGACTTTTATAAGTCAGAGGAAGCTACACACATGAGCAGATATGAAACTACCTTACAAATGGTACTTAATGGTTTTCAAATAATCACTTTATTAATGTAACGTAAGCAAACAAATTGTTTTCTAGCTAAATTAGTCTCCAAATCCAATTCCAATATTGTATTTTTTTAAAACAGCAATTAGCTTTGGGTAATTGTTTATAAACGCACAAAGTGTAATCTGTACACTGATTTAAAAACATGCCATTTGTTTGCTCTTCCTTCTACCCATACCTTCTATAATGTAACTCATATCAAGAACTGGAGTGCTGCTATCTCCACCTCTTAAGTTGCATTGTGTTATGTATGACTTCTGTTGGCCAATACACTGAAACAGAGGTGACAGTGTATCAACCTCAACCCCTACGTGTAAAGAGGTCTCCTTGTACGGGTTGTCTCGCTTTTCAGAGAAGCTGCAAGAATGAAAGACTGTAGGACAGAGCTGAGTCTGCCCAGCCAAGGCCACTCTGCAACAGTTGGTATCCAGCCAACCTGTCAGCTGAGTGGATTCAGGAGTGAATCCAGCAAAGATTAGCCAAGCTAGCCAGATTGGCACAGCTGTTCAGATGATATACAGACTTGTGAGCAAATACAAATGTTTATTTCTGTAGTGTCACTGAAGCTCTGAGTTTTGTTGTTAGCTACTGATAGCTGCATTTCTATAAGAATAAGTAACAAATATAGCAATGAATACCTAAAATTGTTGTGTGTTTGTGTGGACAAACTCACGGTTTCAATTACAGAAGGAGAGAAAATACTAAGGAAATTGTAGAGGACTAGAAATATGGAATTCATGTTATGCAGATGAAACGTGCTGTTTACATAACTTGGAAAAAGAAGTCAGACATGCACCTAAGAAACTTTTGACCAGAGAAAGCTAATTTCCAGGAGAAAGGTGAAAATGTCCTTGGAAAGGCTCTTAAGTACATACAAGATTGTGCAAGAAAGAAATCAGTCAAAGAAAAAAACCAGTCATTTTTCGTGAAGAATCTACAGTGAACATAGAGGCGCCAGGACATGCTGTCAGGAAAATAAACTGTTTTTGTTTCCATCTCTTAAAAGATTTTAAAAGTAAGATGATGATACTCCTGTTTCTCTTCAGATCGTATAAATCTTTCGCCTTTTAAAAATACGATGATGCCCATGGACAAAGATATAGCTGCAGGGTTTTTCACTAAAAGGATTCAGGCAGGGTCTAAGTAGACATTCTTAGCTTGGCAAACAGTTTTTAGGAAGATTATGGGCAAGATCCTATAAGAATGCTTATTGCTTAGTAGTGACTATATTCTGAGAGCAAGAGTTTTTTTTAAAAAATCTGTGGTTATGGCATGGAAAGGATCACATCAGGCATATATATAGAAAGCTCATTTTTTGTTCTTTTAAGATAGGCTCTTGCTGGGTAGCCCAGGCTGACTCTGAATTCATGACCCTCCTGCCTCAGCCTCCCAGGTGCTGGAATTACAGATATCCACCACCACGCCCAGCTTCACATTTTGTAAGTAAGCCTTACAGGCAAAAAGGCAATCATTCTACCTGGGCTGGTGGCACATGCCTACAATCCCAGGACTACAGAGTCAGTGCAGGCTAGACCCTGTCTCAAAAAATAAACAACAAACAAAACATTCACCCTGGTTCTTGACTGGGCCTTGTGACCTGCTTGACTAAGAGGCCACAGTGGAAATATCATTGTGTCAACTGAAGGGGCACTGCATCTCCTGCTCTTTTCCTTGGACTTCTGCTTCTGGCTTAAGAACAACCCCAGGCTAGCCTGCTTCATTTTTTCAAAAAGATAGAAAAACCAAACCCACAAAATGTCTCTTACCCTACACCTTCTGTTAGTCATAGCTCACTACCACCACTCAGTACATGGCCTTCAGATTTCTACGTGAAGTTACTGCAAATGCCTCTAAACTGTTCCCTATGCTTCTATTTCTGCTACACAACCATTAATCTAATGTATCACAATCTTCACCATGTTAATAAATGCTTGTTGTACAAATAGTGATAATTTTATATTACTTGGAAACTACCAGTGCTTACCTAAATCCATAGTGCCAATTCTTCTCCAGACATTAAAACACTGCCTTTCTTTACTAGCTTCTGTAATTCTCCTAGAAGACATCTGATTCTCTACATATTCTTAAAATGTTTATTCCTACTTCCAAGACCCAGGCCTGCGACTCTTGATTCAAGGCTCTCATACTAAAAGGATCACATTGCACCCTTTGCCTATCCAAGTCTTATCCCTACTTTGATCCTATCTCTCATAATGATTTTCCTAGGGTACCAACCCAGAAAGATTTCCTGTTCAAATTCCCATTCTGTTCCTATACATATTCACTGCAGTTTTATCTTGTATGTTTTATTTTTCTACTTAGCTGTTTTGCATGTATAACCTATTGGCTTCACTATACTATAAGCTTTTAAAGAGTAAAAATGAGATCTTACATGTTTTCATTACAGTCCTCTTAATGGACAGTACAAACTCATAAATACAAGTTAAATACATGCAGCATTATCACTAATCCATGTGAATAATTCCTAGATATCTACTTAACAAAATTTCTCAGAAAATAATTACTTGAATATAGTTCATTGTTTTCCTTATGTAAGAATAAAAGTAATTTACATTAAAACTGTGTATCTTATACGAAATATACAATTTTCACATTAAAATACACACCCTCTCTGGAATAAATCCACATTGTAGAACTTGTTGAGCTCCACAGAGAATTCTACCATTGCTTGAACTTCAGTCATTTTTAATTTATATCCAGAAGACAAATCTGGTAACAGCACCTTAGTTAAAGAAGGGGGAAAATAATCAGAAAGACAACAAAAATGTCACCTTATAAAAATAAATTTAAACAAATTCCAGAGTACACTAAATATGCAGAAAATGAAGCAAATTAGTTCAGTGTGCCTAACTTAGCCTTATCCAACTAAACAGCACCAGAATCTCTACCTTTCAAATAGTATTACTCTCTGTAATTTAAAATTTGTCCTGTTAGAACATTTTTCTAAGATTTGTTTCCACTGGTGACATTTAATGGAACAAATTGATAAAAAAAAAAACAAACTGAGTTTTCTCTCCTATAAATAATAGTAACTGTAAAAAATTTAGCTAATTATTCTCTTCTCCTCCTCCTACCTTCTACATAATGGTAAGTCCACAATAAAAATGAAAATTAACATTCTTCAATCCCCATACAAATCCATGGAAAGTTTTTCTTTATTATGTGAAGAAAAACTTTGTAAATAACTATTCACTTTTAAATTAAAACTATTTTTTTCCTTCATTATAAAAACCTAAAGTACTAATTTACAAAGAGGTTTCAAAAAAAGACGAACAAAAAGGAAACATTTACAATTCTATCAACTGATATATGTAATACAGATTCTTTATACGTGTGCGCATTAGTACAATTTTTTTATAAAAATGGGATCAAACCACATGTACATTTTAAAACTTGCTTATTTCACTTAATTTGCTGGTGAACATCTAACTCAATAAATGTAGTTGTACAATATTATTTTTAATTTTGACTATTATACTCTGAGCATGTTATAAGCATTCATCTATTGTTGGGTATTTCAATGGTTTCTATCTTTTTCCTGTTTCAGAAAAATACAAAATCTCCCTATCAATGGTACATATTTTATTTTTTTATTTTTTGGTACCAGGGATCAAACTCAGGACCTTGCACTTGTGAGGCAGGCGGTGGAACCACTGAGCTAAATCCCTGGCCCAATGGTACATATTTTAACAAGTAATTTGTAATAAAAAATGATGCAAGACAATTCTCTACAAGTCCCTGCTATTTCTGCCTATCTTATAAGCAGAGACACTGATAACCTTTGTTCCATACTATCTTCTCATTTGCACAGTGTATAGTCTTAAAAGTCAGAGATAGTGTTTCATAACTTCTAGAACAAAGGGCAGATCTGTTTACTGTGCTATAAAGTCTCCCTCAAAGGCAAAAGTCAGATGTCTATTACAAAAAGTCAGGTTCCTCTCCTATAAAATAAGCTACCCATACGCAGGTATCACCTGGCTCTAGCTACTGCGGTGAGTCTAAGTCACCTTTGTCCTTGATCTATGAGTCTCCAGTCTTCTGACGACATCCATGGCCCAGTGGCTAACTTGTTAGCTTGCGAGTGGGATTAAAAATCTTAGACCCTTCACAGTTCTTAAAGTAATTCTTCATTGAAATTCAGCAGATATTCCACTCTATGGTGCATTAAATGTAAATAGATGTCACATTCTTACCTCCACTGATTAAAACTTCATTTTAACATTATTAAATATAATCTTGCACTTCCAGTTACTGATTCTTGTTGTTAAAAATATATTGCTCCCCCTAAGAGAAAGAAATAACATCTGAAACAAAGTAGTACATAAAAGTCTATCTTAAGGAAACTTATGTGTCATTACTTAATATTTTCAGTTTACGTAAAAATTATATATTCCACATGACTTATGAATAAATTATAATTTTATTAATAGAAACATCAACTTTATATCTCCATTAACAGTTTATGTATGCATCGAAGTACAATAAAAAAGAATCATTTCTTAGTTCAGTACCAATTCTTATGAATATATAAATATTAAAAGCTTATTATTACTTTTTAAGACATAAACTATCATTTTAAAACAACTGAGTAGGTGATTTATAAAATGTTTTATGTGTATTTGCATGTGTGTATGTGCACATAAAATAAACTATTTAAAATACTTTGACAAAAGGCTGCCTATGCTAGTTTTTTCTCACATTTCAAATATTGGTTAAATAAAAATATTTTTTTACCTTGGTATAAGTGTTTCAGGTACTAAAAATGTTAGAATGAAGACCATGGTCACACTTCAACAAAGTTTTTTCTGTCATAAAGTTGTAGACTTTCCTAAATTTCCAAGCTGCCGTTTTCAGCTTCAAATCATTAATAATTTATAATAATCATCAATACAGATCAAAACAATGTTATCTTTTATATAAACTATTCCCCATTTCATGGAAATAACATCTTATCTAAGTCAGCTTCTTCACATGTTTTAGCTCTAAATCAAGTTTGGTCAAATTTTTATACCTTAATTTATTCAAAAACATAAAACAGGTTTTCATTCAAACATTAACTGAACATCCACTATATGTTAGGAATTGCAGTATATACAAGGTATAGCTCATTTTCTGGTCTCAAAAGAGCTAAAGGATATGTAAATGTAGCACAATGGTTAAAATATAATCTTAGGACTTGAGTCTCAGATCTAAGACTTTGGTGGATGCCCTCCTCATATTTGTTTTTTCTTTATGGAACACAGCACCCACTACTTAATCATATAGAAGAAAACAATATAGAAGAAAAATAAACTTTTTTCTCATTTAAGCTATTTTCATTTTTGGATCTCTATTACAGTACTTTGGCCTCTTCCTAAATACAGAAATTAGTTATCAGAATTATTTTGTTATAACAAAATCCTAAAATATACATGGCACTAGCTTAGTAATTATATATCAAGCAAAAAGAAAACACACTGCTGGAATACTAATACCCCCCTTAGGAGGAGCAAAACAACTGATACAACTATTGTTTACAATAACCTGCAGAACTAGGTGTCCTTATTCCTTTCTTCATTTCCTAAGCATCCATCTCACCTAACATAGTAAAGATTTTACTTATTAGTCCTCATTATATTTTCTTTGCTAAAAGTAACCTTTATTAAGGCAGAAAATTCTAATTAGTCTGTTCACTGCTGAAATCCCACTAGACAGGTACTCAATTTAATACTTAATGAATATTTAATGCAGTAACATTAAAGATTCTATAAATATTAACTATTATTTTTCCCTTATTTAAACTGAACCAACCTGAAGGAATTATTACACATGTGTATTGAAGAGAGAGATATGCATGTACAAATTGTGTTGATTAAATTCCCTTATCAGTAGCCAGGGGCAGAGGTGCATGCTTGTAATTCCAGCTACTCAGGAGGCTGAGGCAGGAGGATCAAAAGTTTAAGGCCAGCCTGAGCAACTCAATGTGATGTGTTTCAAAATAAAAAATAAAAAGGGACAGGGATAGAGTTCAGCCACAGAGCACCCGTAGGATCAATCTTTAGCACTGGAGAAAAATGTTCCATTATTGGTATATATTTGAAGTCTGCTAGGAGTATGTTCCACTTTACTCCTGTGTCCTCCTATGCTTTTTGCTCTAATGTTGCTGTCTAGTCTTCTTTAAATCCTTTCCTTTTAAGTATTCCCAAAATAGAAACATACATGTACAACTATAAAGAGTAATGATGATAGACCTCTGACTTTCACCCTCCTTCCCCCCAAAATACCCCCAGGAAACAAGAATTGTTAGAATTTTTAAAAGCAAAGAAGGGACTAAAGGAAAAGGAGAAAGGCACAAGGAGAAAGAAGAGAAAAATCTAAGGGACACTCAGAGTCAAAGTGGATCTGGCTGATCCTCTTGTCATGATCTGGCTCAGTGAAGGTCCTAGGTTCACTCAGGTTCAATTCCCGGTGGGGAGAGGGGTGGGAAGAAAGCACTTGCTAGTTGGCTCCACAGATCCTTACTGTTCCAGCATTATGGATTGTAAATTTTCAGGAGGAATTTAGAAGGCAATCTTTCAAAAGATGAATTTTAGTTTTAGATGCTGCCAACTAAGAAGCAAAACAAAACAAACAAAAACAGTGTACATACTTCAAACCAAATTCAAACACAGAGCAAATTTCTTCTGTGGTCTGTCATTTTGAAATCTCTGACTTATTACAGATTCTGAAGCCATTCGCAGAACCAGAAAAATTCTAGTTTGCCCTCTCTCATGAACTAAAGAAGCTGCAGAAATGACTTCTTTCCTTTTACTCAGATCAAGCAGGGAAGACTCTCCATTGGATGGAACTTGGTGCAGCTATTAGAAGCTGCGAGTTTCACAAACTCCTGCATAGTCTGCTGATGGCTCAGAAGCCATCACTTGGCTCAAAGCTAGTGGAATCAGTGTTTATTCTCTTGGCCCTGGCAAAAAAGCCTAAAATTGAGTAATTGGGAGGTCATTCAAATTAAGATTCAAACAGAGGTCATTTCCTAGTTCACTAAAAGATAAGCCAGCTGAGCAAACTATGAATCCCCAATTCAAAGAAGCCAATGGGGAACCTCAAACAGGAAATGACTAAATGAGAAACTTATGCCAAAGAGCCCTTAGAGATTTCTCTGCCAATCAAACTTGATGGTGTGAAAGATCTGACAGTTAACTGCATAACACCTGAGGAAAATTTAGCTTTCTCTCAAAGAAAAAAAGTCACTAATTAATATGAATGTTATTTTGGTACTGTAGACTTGCTCTATCACTATTAAGAACACGTGGCTATGAGATGAGTGTGAACAACTGAAATGAGACTAGTGTGATAAGGAAATGAATCTTTAATTTAATTTTAAATTAATTTAAATTTAAACCCATCGTTGAAGTAATGTAAAATATTTCCCCATTACATATGGCTCTATTGTCTTGACAGGACTGCATTTTATTTTACTTTAATCATTAAAAAACTAATAGTACTAAAAAAAGTACTGAGCTGATGCTGAGTATATATAATCGATTTCGAAGGACAAAAGAGAACAAATATCTCAATATGTTTTTATACCGATCACATATTAAAATATTTTGGATATATTTGGTTAAATTATCAAAATTAATTTTACTTTAAAAAATTTTTTTAACGTAGCTACTAGAATATTTTAAATTACATGTCACATATTTCTACTGGATAGCACAGTCTAGAAATACCAAGCCATCCCTTTTTCAACTGCTAGGCAGGCAGTAACAGCCCCAGAAATAGTACGAGGTACATAAAACCAAGTACAGGATCAAAGACTACTACTATCAGATCTGCTGAGTGACATCCAATATCAGAAGCACAGCCCAGGCACAGATATATGGAAAAATGTGGGACATGCTTCTGTATCATCCACACTGATCCTAAAGCAGCACCTTGAACAAGTCAGAATTCATGAGTAGTGCTGAAGAATCTAAAAGAGGCAAGAGGATCACGAAAGCTCAAATCCCACGTGGGCAACTTAGTGTGACCCTGTCTCAAAATATCTAGGAATGTAGCTCAGTGCAAAGGCCCTGGTTCAGTACTGAAAGTAAAAATGTAAAAGAAGTTGTGGAAACATCTGAAACTAAGAGAAACAGCTCAGACGTCCTTGGGATATACTGGAGACCATAAGGAATGACTGCTTTCTCTCACAATAGTCAAGGAATAGCCTTGACTCATCAACTTTCTTAGTTACTTTTCTCTCCCTGCTGAGACAAAATACCCAACACCCAAAGTTAAAGGGGGAAAGGTTTATAGTTTATAGAGGTTTCAGGCCATAATCAGCTGGTGCCAAGGCAGAGTGGCACAAGGCAGAGGGGCAATAGTTCATGGCAGAAAGACCTTAGCTAAGCAGCAAGGGATATTAACAGCACCTTCCTGCCCCTTTTATCTTAATCAGGCTACTCAGGGTGGGTAGCACTCACACCCTTAATTCTAGTGCCCTCGGGCCTAGGACTGCACCAAGAATCAATCACATACTCTAGATTCAGTTACCTCTGAGAAAGCCCCACCTACAACTGCAGAAGGTTTTGGGGACACGTAGACACAAGCCATAACATTCCATCTCTGGCCCCCCAAAGACTCATGCACATCTCTATATAAACAACATTTAGTCCATCTCCAAGAGTTGCCAAAGTCCTAACAGTTTCAGCATTGCTGAAAAGTCCAAGTTCAAAGTCTCCTCTGAGATTTAAGGCAAACTCTTAGTCTTGTACAAATGAAAAGAAAGTTAAGCACTTCTAACATTCAATGGCACAAGATAGACATTACCCGGCTGGGGATTTAGCTCAGTGGTTCCATTGCCTTGCGAACGCAAGGTCCTGAGTTCGATCCTGGGTACCAGAAAAAAAAAATAGACATTACCATTCCAAAAGTCACAAACAGGGGGATACAAAGGAATAGGACCAAAGCAAGACCAAAATCCAGCAGGGAAAGCATTAAATCTCACAGTTCCATTTCCAGCATCCGCAGCAATATACCGCAAGTTATGAACTCGAAAGGGCTTTAGGTGACTCCACCCCTGTGGCACTGCCAGTGGTTGTAGCTCCCATGGCTTCTCTGGGGCCAGCTCTGCTCCCTCCTTGCCGTTTTCCTTGGATGATTCATGTTCCTGGCTTCTTCAAACTTCTGGGGAGTCTGCACCTTCGGCTTCACACTCATAGCTTCACACACTGCCCTCTCTGGCCTACTGCCTGGCCTCCCAGGCCTTCTGAAATCTGGGTGGAAGCCTTCTGCTGCCATTCTGGAACATGGTGCCCTGGGCG